TCACTGTCAACTTGGCTAGGCCGCAGTACCCAGATATTTGGTCAAACATTATTCCATGTTTCTGTGAATGTATTTTTTAGATGACATTCACATTTAAATTAGACTTTGAGTAAAGCACATTACTCGCCACAATGTGGGTTGGACTCATCTGATCGCTTGAAAACCTTCAGAGAAAAAAAGAGACCTTCCCCAAACAAGAAGGAATTCTTGCCAGCAGAGTGTCTTTGGACTCAAACTGCGACAATGCTTCCCCATGTCTCCACCCTGCCGGCCCACCCTGCAGATTTTGGACTTCTCAGCCTCTATAGTTTGCATGAGCCAATTTCCTAAAATAAAGGTTTCTTTCCTTCTCTCTCTCTCTATATATATGTGTATGTTCTGTTTCTCTAGGGAACCCTGGTAGATACATATAGTTCTGTCTTTCCTCCAGACCAGAAGGTATAGCTCCGCAAGAGCAGAGACTTTGTACCATTTACTACTCTGTCCTTGATCCTCAATAAATTTGTGTTGATTGAAGTGAATAAGAACTTCAGGTTAGGAAAAAATGCTATTAAAGGAAATAAGCAGGGTGATAAAATTCCATTTTGTACTGTGCTGAATAGTGTTCCCCCAAATTCATGTCTGCCGGAGCCTTAGAACATGACCTGATGTGGAAAGAGAGTCTTCGCAGATATAATTGAGATGAGGCCATACTGACGTATGGTGGCCCCTAATCCGATAACTAATGTCGTTATAAGAGAAAATAGAGACACAGAAAACTTAGAGCATGCTGGAGACCCCCACGGGAAGCCACAGACACAGAGACCCGGGAGGGCAGAGCGCCACGTGATGTAGGAGATGGGGAACGCCAAGAGCATGGTCAGCCATCAGAAACTGGCGAGAGACATGAGAAAATTTCTCCCTAAGAGTCCCCAGAAGGCTCCAACCCCGCCAGCATATTGATTTCAAACTCCCAGCCTCCAGAACCGTGAGGGGAATAAACTTCTGTTGTTTCAAGCCACCCAGTTTGTGGCGCTTTGTTACGGCAACCTATGACACGAATATCCCCCTCAACCAGTTCCCCAGATCTTACGATCCGTCTGCAGCCACCCACCCCCTCATCCTTGCAGAGCTCCCTTGTCCCTGTAGACAGCCCCGGGGCTGAGGGCCGCTTCCCATGTGGCCACCCTGGAACCTTGCGTCCAGACTCGAGTGAGGCTGGGAGCATTTGCACACGCAGCTGAGCTGGAGCGTTTCAAAAGCACAGCAAGCTCTTTCTAGACTTCAGCATCCTGGTTGGGAAGAAACAAGCCTGGGAATAAGACCAGAGCACGTGATGTTACCGACCAACTGCACAGTGAAGGGGCCGAGAGGGGACGTGTTCACCCAGCTTTCGTTACGTTAGGGAGACAGGAAGCATTATATACGAAGCAGTCTCCCCTATCTCCATCAGCCACTGCTTCCCCCGGAGCTCTTGTGAAGCTGGTCCCTGTGAGGGGCCCTGGGGTCGTGTGCAGCTGCCGTGGCTGCTCTGAGTGTGTGACGGGATGGGGGTGGGTGCACGGGGCAGCCAAGGGCCGGTCCTGCTGGCACGAGCCTCACGGCTCTTGGAGCACCCAACGCTTTTCCTTCATGGAACTTATCGCAGTTTGTAATTGCATATTTGTGTGATTAATTTATTTTGTCTGGGAGGATTCTTATCTGTTTTGCCAAAAATCCCCAGGGGGATGGGGATTATGATGTGTTTGCTCCCTGTTGTGTCTGCGATGCATAGCACCGTGCCTGGCTTACAGCAGGCGCTTAAACATTTACTAAACGAAAGTGAGATGTACAGATATACGTTAACTTCAAGACACAAAAGGCATCCTGCGAAGAACTGCTAAAGCCCCCTAGACCATAACCATCTCCCTTTTTATTACATACCTCCATCTCCCGTAGGGCCGAGTGGTGACACTTCTTTCTCTTCTCACACAGAGGACTTCAGCTCCCAACTCCTGGGGCTTCCTCCCCCCACCCCAGTCCTAATGAACTTTTTTCTTTTTTTTTTTTTTAGGTAGTCAATTTCCTGTCATCACTCCCAAAGGATATATATTTTTTAAAACCTGCTTTATTCAAGGAAAAGCAAACTGGCCCGTGGGGCTTCTATCATTTTGGAAGAAAGCACCATATTAAAAAAAAGTATATATTTAGAAACAGGGTCTCGCTATGTTGCCAAGGCTGGCTTTGAACTCCTAGGCTCAAGTGATGCTCCTACCTCAGCCTCCCAAGTAGCTAGGGCTACAGGTGTGCACCATGGTGTCGCCCCCTATCCCCAACAAAGGCATTTTATGTGCGATTCTGATCTAAAACAGAAAACCCATTGGAAACGGAGGCACTCTGGGTGCAGTGTTGGGGGTGGAGGGCACAGAGAATCCTCAGGCCTCTCCTTTGTGAGCTCTTAAGGCACCTCCATCACGCCCCCGAGAGTTCTTGAAGTCCCACGCTGGGGGGCTCGGCTAGGAAATGGGCCTCTGAGACCCAGACTCAGTGGCACTTGGGTCTTCAAACCTCGATTTAGACTTAAATGCTCAGATCACACCCAGACCTCAGGAGGTGGTCTACCCAGAACGTAGAGCCAGCTCTTAGGAAAAATGTGCCTCTATGTCTTCTCGCAGTCATCTGGTAAAAAGATGACCCGAAGCACAAAACTGAGTGTCAGGACAAAACACAGTAGAGCCACATAAGAAAAATAACTTTGTTATTAAGCATATACAATCATACCCAGGCACTTCATAGTATCACATCCATAACTGTTGGAATATTAATACTAGTTTGACTGTTACATGGACCTGGTATAAATAATGAACAACAGAGCTACTGTGATATATGACCAGTCACCGTGAAATAAACACAAACTCATGGCACACATGAAATTCCTCAGGGCACTCGCTTTAAGAATCTAACAAAGAATGCTGAGATCCCCCGGGGAGTAGAAGGGTCCTTTTCTATGATTTCCCTAAAGCAGTAACATTTGTGGAAGGAGCATGTAAAGTCCAAGATTTTATGCTTTAACAATTATGGCCATTGTGTGTGTTTTTTTCCAAATGGAAAATTATTTTTTTGACTTGTTGTGAAACATACATGCTGACTGTGCCAGGAAAAATTTCATCTATTTCCCTGAATTCATTATTAATAACTTTAGATGGCTCTATTCTACTAGTTGTTTGGCCCGGATCCTGCAAATAACTTTCCTTTTTAGGAAGGTTATCTGAAAGATGTTAAGCTTGCAGAATGAGGCTGCCATGGCTGTCTCTGTGGGATGGAGGGAGGGGAGTGACACCCAAAATATGACGGGGGAGTTGTCACACCTGAAAGCCCAAGGTGATTCCTGGCGTGGAGAAGCCCTCCTGCATGTCTGGCAACAGGGCTCCCACGGCCCACAGTAGTTAGGAATCTTGCCAAGGGAGCACGACCAGAACCAGGGTTCTCTCCACCTGGTATCTGGTGGAGTGACACTCCCCTGTCCATTCCCTAACACCAATGAGCATTTCTTAGTTGCCTGTCAGGTACAGACACACCAGTCTGAGTGTGTACAGTAGAAATGACGTTGGCCAATTAATCCTGTGCCAGGTGTTGGGAATTAACTCAGAAGGAGTGAAAAGGCAGCATGCTAAAACAGAGGCAACTTATCAAGTCCTACTCTAAGTCCTAGCCAGGAAGGTGCACGCACACAACTGAAGTCAAGATTTCTACTAAGGGGTTGAGGAAGTGAAACATGAAGGGACTTAGTCAAACTGCAGGAAATTTTATCCAAAAAATGTCTCTCCCATTAGGTTTTAAGCACAAGTCCTGTTTAGACAGTGAAGCTTTGATTTTCTATCCATAGCTAAAAGATACGTTAGAAGTAACAATGCCTTATGGTATCTTACCTTTGAAAAATGAATTAGGGCATACAGAACACATATTAGTCTTGCATTAGTCCACGTTTTGAAAGTCTGAGGATTAATAATTATTTTCCAAATTGACCTGGTCCAGCAAATTGACATAAAATACAGGTCGTTGTGTGATTTTGCTAGAGATCATCATCTAGAATGGTCTCATGAAATCCAGATATTATTACTGGTTTTTCTTTTAATATAGTATCCTAGCCTAGGACCAAATATGCAGTTCGGTTGCATTTTATGAGCACCTGGTACTAAAGATCACATTTCTAAATACAGTTCACTATCAAGAAAAAGAAAAGGTAATACAATTCCTCATTTTCTTTTTTGAAAAAAAATCAAGGACGGACTTAATCATCTCTCATAGAGCCTGTACATAGTTTTTTTTTTTTTTTTAAGCATTCATCCATCTTCACCCTTTAAATACCTTGCTGTACCAGCACACAAACATTCAAGACGACATTCCAGATGAGAATCAACCGCTGTTCAGTTCATCTCTTCATAAACCGTGTTGGCGGGGCCCTCTGCCATGACTGTCGAGTTCTGGGTTCTGGAGAGACTGATGGGGAGGGGAAGGATGCTAGAGAAAGAGCACTGAGAATGTGTTTGCCTCCACTTTCGAAACGTTAGGGGACAGTCACTGGGGACTTTGCATAAGTAAGAAATAGCGGAGCAAAGTGTGGGTGAAAGACGCAGCGTCCGCTGACTGACCCAAGTCTCGGTTTCTTACGTGACAGGAGCGAGAGGACGGTGGCTCCGGCCAGGTGAGACCTGCAGTCAGAGCTCCTCCCCTGCCATTCTTTAAAAACGAGGCTGAAGAGTGGCATCCAAACACAACAAGAGCGATTTTCCTTAAGCAAGTTTTCACAGGAGGGGAGTTACATGATGGAGATCAGAAGACAATAGAGAGAAAAAAAAAAGGCCAAGGCTTTTTCGGAATTTTAAGGGGCCTTGGCGGGTTGGCCAATTGGGAACTTTTACCTTGGTTCACCGGGAAGGGAGGTTGGTTTTAGGGGGGAGGTTTTCTTGAAAGGGCGGTTTAAAGGCCCTTTTTTTTTTCCGGGGGGAGGTTGGGGTTTAGGGACCTTTTAGGTTGCCCTTTGAACCCAGGGGGCCCCGCCCTCCCCCAGTATCACAAAGCAGCAGATTCTCCTGCTGGTCTCTGGCTCCTGGTGCCTCTGAATCCAGAGCAAGCCCCGCCAGGAGCACGCTCCCCTCTGGGACCCACAGGTGCTCTGAGAAAAAGCTCTGACTCAGTGCGAGAAAGGTAACCTTTTCGAAACTGCTTCTCACACTGCTGAGAAAAGGAAATTAAGAAAATGGCCTAGAAGAACTGGAACTTGGACTAATTAAAGAAAATGAAGGAAAAATGGGAATCACAGGAAGGAACTTCCTTCCAAACAAGGAAAACCACTGGCTTTTTTCCCCCTGCCCCATCCAAGATATCTTTTGATAGTGCATTATGCTCAATATATATGGTGGCAGGTTTGGCTGGCCCCAGACAAGGACTTGTCACACTCAAGGGGGGCACATCTACCTGCCACTGCCGCTATGGCTTCAGCGGAGTTCCTGCCCAAGGTCCCCCACTTCCCATTTGCCAACAACCCAAGCCAGCAACCTCCTCGAAGTCTCAAGTCTCACCGTACATTGATCCAGCCTGGATCAGGGCCTGAACGGGACTTTCTGGGCACGTGGTCAGAACCAGGACTTCTGCACCTCTCCCTAAGGGCCAGCCACCCTTATTCAACAAATCCTCTGTGCTTTATGGAGAGGCCCTGCTCTTTAGATCAAATAGCTTTAAAATGTTCTGGCAAACCTGGAGCCTGTTGTTCTAACGTGAACCAGGGCATTTCATTCCTTCACTGTTTTTCAAAAGGAGGGTTTATTCCTCTGCAAATAGGATACTTATGGATAAGCATGGCATGATCCCTTAATCACCATATTTGAATTTTAAGATGTGGCAACCCATGACAATAAATATATAGCTAATTCTTCACCATCTTCTCTAATCTCCACTCCTTAATTTTCTTTTTATAAACCAAATTTGGGAAACAAGGTTGTATATAAAAGCACAGAATATTTAGAATCTACTAGATGGACAAGAAAAAAGAATTACCCACCAAGGTAAATCAGCATGATTGTCCTCCTCACTGCTTTTTGATTGAAGAGCCCTAGTTTTGATACCAGAACAGTCTATTTTGAACACACATCTGTTTTTCCCCCCAGAAAGAGCCTCACATTTTTTTAGAGCTCACCTTGCCATATTTCCCTCTTTGGTATTCTGCCAAATTTTAAGACACTAACTTAACTGAAATCCAGAAGTTCCAGAAAAAATAAGATGGAGAAGAATAATCCCAATGCAAGCCACCCCAACTGACCCTCAGAGTGAGAAGCACGTATGTCAGCCTTTCACTCCCTCATGTCTGTAGTAGGTCTCGTGGGTGGCTCTGAAAATAGTATATGGAAAAAAAGGAGTAGGGAGAAGTCAGGACAAGATTAAAGAAATGATCTTTTCTAGGTCTCCAGTGGTGTTTTTCTTCTCTTTAGATGATTTAACTGCAAGTGAAAATGCTCTTCTTTCTCTTTCTTTGGCATGAAGATACTGGGCTGTGCTACGGATAAAAATCTGCGGGGGCTCCCAAGTCTCTCGCCTCTGTTTTTCTCGGGTGGTCATCTCCAGAGCCCAAGTCCACGGTTTCTGGGAAGCTGGAAAGTTCCTGAGGTAAAGGGAAGTCCTCTGCCGAGGAGTGAGTCCGGTGCCCGAACACCTTATCCTGCAGCTCGGCGATGTCGTTGCGGATGTCGGCCAGCATCAGCAGCAGGAAGTCGAAAGAGCCAGGGGGTCCCTGCGCACACAGGAGGAATCAAAGCTAGGACAGGACAGACAGCAACGGCCTCTGGGCCTCCATGATTCGCCAGCCCTGCTGCTTGCTGGCAACCACAGTCCTGGTAACTCTGGGCCCCAGTGGAGTCAACACAAGGAGCTATAGGGGCCTGGGGAGCCACCGCAGTGTCTCCTAATCCCCCACCACACATGCGAGCTCTGTGACACAGGCACCTTCCCCCCTCCTACCTCGTAGACAAAAAAAAAATATATATATATGAGAATCACTGTCCTAGGTTACTTTCCAAAGGAATCTGGAAGATTTCTTTTCAATTTCTCATTAAACTTGGAAAGGTCTAAAGCAAAGCTTCCTAATTTTTCTATTTATTGGACATCCTTTACCATCAATATAGTATTTATTAAGTCTTAATTTATTTCCATGTTGTGCTGTGTGGGGCATGGTAAAAAAATATATGGAAACATGCGTGTTCTGGGCCTATCGAAGCACATAGTACAATTGTCATACCCACACCGCAATCACCGCTGTCGTGGCTACCACCTTAGAAGCAGTGGCTTCCATGGTAAAGTACGTGGAGAGGCATAGCACTTTGATGTCATTTGACCTTCACAATAACCACTTGAGGCGTGGTGGATCGGACTCCACTGCTGCCACCGTACAGGTGGGGATATGAATGCCCGGAGATGCTAAGTGACATGCCCAAGGTCAGAAAGCTAACAGGCAGAAGAGTTGAGATGGGAACCCACACCTCCCACCTCTGTGGCCAGGCCTCTTGGTCTTTCTTCAGAAATGACCCCGACTTCTTCAGAAGCAGTGGAGTTGCTTCAGTTAGTTCTGTGCTTTTGGATACTACTAATTTCCTTTTTTAATCTCCCAGACCTATGCACATATGCAACTAATTTATCCTCAGGTCCCGAGCAGCCCTGCAGGCCTTTGCACCTCCTGAAAGTGATGGTCACTCGGCCTGCTGGGGTTATAGAGGCAGCTAAATTCTCAAGTGCTCAGAGTTATAACTTAATCCCAAAGATTTCTTTCCTCATCCTTTCAGATGTTTTATGATATACTTGGAAAGTGACTCATGGCATATTGGGGTTTTGAACCTTAAGAGAAGACATTCCAAATAAAGATCAGCCACGAAAAAAGAACAAAACAACAAGAGAAAATAATTTTAAAATAAATCCAAACCAGTTGCTAAAGGCTTCTGTGGCTCTTCCTAACCACAGAGCTCCGTTCAGGCTGGCTGAGTAATGGCTGGAAGGGGCTTTTGCTTCTAAGACCGACTTATCGGCTCAGAAGAGCTGCATCCCCGAGAACATTCCCACTGGGAAGGCAGGACAGACAGCGCTACTTACTGGAGACCCCCGGGGCCCAGGTGCTCCTCTCTCCCCCTAAAAACACAAAGGCCAGGGTTAGCTTTCTGGGCCACATGGATGCCACCACCGTGGTTTCTATTTACCCACCATAACCACTGCCTTGCACAAAACAAATATTTTCCATAGAAAACATATGTAGGATTGAAGTTGGACTCATGGGATCACTTATTCAAACAGAACTGCTTGGGGCAAGTGTCTCTCATTCTGATTTCCCCAGAAGCCACACATTTTCAAACCATATCTGATGAGAGGAGTGTCCGTATTTCCCGACAGCGTGCGGAATAACAACTTTCCACAGTGACTCACGCTGGCTTCTTTATGAGGCAAGTAGCAGGCGGCGCTCGAAGTGACGCTACCCACTCTCACAGAGTGGGACTTCCCCTGCCCTTGAACATCTCACAGGAATGGGAACACACGAGAAACAAGCCTATCAAATGACTCTGGTTAAACAGAAAAACACATGCGACTTTCGCAACGCAGAGGCTTATTTATAATTTATAGCGGTTGTTTTTCCTAGGAGCAATTTTAGTGGTTGGTTTTGTTTTTAGGGTTGGTTTTATACTTTGCAAAAATGGCTTTTTAGATTTTGTCCCCAGATTTAGAAAAAGTATACCTGTGCCTCAAATCTGTCACGCACAAAATGGGGATGGGAAACAGTGCTTGCTGAGCTTCCTGGCTGTCCATGCAACAGGCAGAAAGTGAGAAATGATTGGATTGCAAAGACCACTCACAAGACGTACCTTAGAACCATCTCTTCCCGGGGCACCTGGCGGACCCTGCAAGACAAAAGGGTCTGATTTAACAGGAGGCGAAAAGCATGGGTCAAAGACACACTTGCCCCCAAAACAGTAAGTGGATGTCTGATAAGATACTGACCACGGGGCCCCTCCGGCCTTGCTTAATGTGGGACAGATCAGGAGATGGTCCCATGGGTCCCATCGAGCCCCGGGGGCCGGGCTGCCCAGGAGGGCCTGGCATACCGGGGAAGCCTGGGCTCCCCTTTGGTCCTGGTGAGCCTGTAATCAAAGAACACCTCATTAACTCACAGCCCGTACGTAAGAAGGACAAACGTCCCCGGCTGATGATAGCCTAGGTCCCCTACAGCTGTTTCTCTTTGCACTCTGCCGTCTGCCTTCTGACAGCTCCACTGGGATGTCCCATGGGCATTTTCAATATTTCACTATGGTCAAAAATGACTTCTCCCCCATGTTCCTCTCTTTTCATGGACCAACAGTCATCCATCCACTCGCGCCAGAAACTTGAGAGTCTTCCTATTTCTACAACCTCCTTATCCAGTGGCCAGTTCCTGTGCATTCTACCTCTTTAACATCTCATAACTGTCTGCTCCCTGCCATCCCTGTGATCACAGCAGAGTAGTGGCCACCACGGCAGGGTAGGGGCTACCACAGCTGGACAGCAGCAAGGGTACAGGTCTTAGGCTTGAATCTTACATGAGGTACTTGAGCTACGTGAGTGAGCCTTAGTTTCTCATCTGTGAAGCTGGGCTAATAAAAATCTTCCTTATGAAGCAGTTATCAAATGAGATTTCAGACACAAACACCCCACTTAGTGTAATACTTCACACAGTGAGCACCAAAATAAATATGAGGCCTTCCTTATATTTGCTTTATCTCTAGTCTCTTTGCCCCCTACCAGTCTTATTCAACCCTCACCTATTCTTCACATTTATGTATGAATAATAAATCTTAAAAAAGTCTTACTATGTAACTTTCCTACTTTCAACCCTTTGGTGCAAAAGCCTCAAGTCACTGGGGCAGATCAGCAAATTTTGTTTTGCAGACCCCAGGCAAATATCTGCTACTTCTCGGGGAGCAGCAGGAAATGTGCTCCCAAGACTTGCCACAGATACAAGGCAAGCTGGGGGGAAGGGGGAGATGTGGAGAGGAAGATGTCACCCCAAGGCATGGATCATACCTAGGATTGCTGCTGGAGCAAGAGAATGGAAAAGTCCTCTACCCCCACAACTCTAGTACAGAGTAATAAGCAACAGTAACCTACCCTTGGGGGAAGAGCAAGAGAATGGAGAGAAAATCTATGGCACAGGTGAGCAGGGGTTACTGAAAGCTGAGAGTAGAGTACAAACACTGAGAAAAACCCACTGGAATCCAAGCCCCCACACTAAGCATAAGGTAATAGTATCCTGCCATTGGAGAAATTTGAAAATTTGAAGACTGAAGGTAAATACAGTCACAAGAAAACCCAAACCCAGCTCAATTATTCATTAGATTGACACAGCGCCCCATGCTAGTGGCCCAACAAAAGAAAAGGGTATCCATCTCCAGGAGTAGTTACCATGTACCTATGTCTCTACTGTTCCTCTGCAAAGGATGTTTGGCATTTGATCCAAAATTTTAAGACACATAAAAAAAGCAAAAATAAACAAAAAAAACATCATTAAGTAACAGAGCAATCAGCAGAACCAGACTCAGAGGTGATCCTGATATTGGAATTATCAGACAGGGGCTTTAAAATAACAATGATTAAAATGTTAAAGGTGTTAGCAGAAAAGGTAGACAGCTTGCCTGAACAGATGGGGAATTTCAGCAGAGAGATGTAAAGGAAAGGGGAAAAAGTCAAATGGAAATAAAAGACGCGACACATGGAAAAAAATTTCGATAGGCTTATCAACAGACTGGTCACAAGTGAAGAAAGAATCAGAGAAATTAAAGATGACAAGCCAATAGTCATCCAAATGAAATACAAAGTAACAAGCAAAACAGAACCTTCAAAAGAGGTGGGACAGTATCAAACAGTCTGAAGTTCAAGGAGCAGGAGAAGAAAACTCCACAGTGGCTCCCTTTGCATACAGAATAAAGTTCAAGCTCCTCAGCACAGTGCACTAGCTCATTCTCCTCTTCCTCTCCAGGCATCTTTTTTTTCACCCTTGCCTTCTTCCTAATTACTCCCAATACATCTCTATAGAGGGTATCACAAACTCTAGATCTGAACTTCTCCATGCAAAGGTCGGGTCCATTGTAAAAGCTCACTCATCCTCAATCACACACTGCTCCATCAAGGACCCTGGACAGCTCAAACCATGTTAGAAACCAGATAGCAGAACTGAAGAAAGCTGGCAAATCATCTATTAAGAAAAAACCTCCAACGGCTCCCCTGTTCCTGTAGCTGTCCTTGTTCTAAAGATGTGTACACTTGCCTGGAGATGACTACCTCCAGGGAGGCAAAGCAAGAATGTTCTCTTAGAGAAGGGTAGAGAACACCATGCTAGAATTACTTTGTAAGGAGAGATCTCAGTCTACTTAGAAGCCTCAAGGGGATGCCTGTGTGAGGCATTTGCTGGAGGAAACGCCACCATGACCTAGAGCACCTCAAGGCCAAGGGAGTCAACAGGAAGATGAACCAAAGCCCTGGCCCAGTTCTTATTCTCTGTACAGACTGAGATCCAGGCCTGTGTTTGATGGAAACCAAGAGATTAAGATGTAGGTGGGAAGAATGTATGAGAAGCAAGTAGAACCCAAATCCTTTGGGAAGAACTCTGAGCCCTTGTTCTTGCTTCCTAACTAAAACCTGCCCATGTCCTTTCTGCTTGGACAAATTCTACCAGTCTTGCACGTCCAGCTCAAACCCCAGACCCCCCCAACCACTGCAGGCTACCATGATCTCTCCCTTCTTTAACCTTATCTGGAAGGGGGCCAGATCCCTCTTGTAACTAAATATTTTTACCTCCAGTAGCACAAAGGAAGGAAGCCTCTTGGGGGCAATACAGATACTGTTTTACTCTATTTGCCTTTGCTCTGTGTCTCTTGTCTTCCCAATTAGAATGTCAGGAAGTCGTTCATAATACCTAGCACGCTGCTAAGCAATGCTAACCAGGGATAAGACACTCACTGGTTCAGAATCATTTGCTAACACTAATGTCATTTCCTTCACTGGTATGAAAAAAGTCAATAAAATTTATCTATCTATCTATGGAGGGACTCAAAATATCAAACACCTGACAACTTTTTTTTTTTTTAAATGTTCTCATTGTTTATTTCCTGATGAAATGATAGGACATTTGGGATTTTCTTCAAGTTATTAAGGGTGAATCTTCAAAACAGTATGCTCAGTAAAAGAAACCAGACAAAAAGAATAAATGCTAAGAGATTGCATTGATAGGCAATTCTAGAACAGATAAAACTGTAGTGAAAGAGAAAGCAGGTCAGTGGCTGCCTAGGGCTGGGGGTGAGGAAGTAGACTGATTATAAATGGACACAAGGGAACTTTCTGGGGTGATGGAAATGGTCTATATCTTCTTGATATAGATATAGGTTGGTGGTTACATGGGTGAATACATTTGCCAAAACTCATCCAACTGTAATTTAAATTAGCATGTTATATATAATTTGTATCTCAATAAAGTTGACTTATACAAAACATATAGCTATGAGCAAAAACACAGATGATTACATAAAAATACATAAAATATATAAAATACATAAAAATACAGTATGTTAACAAAAAGGGAAGGTAGAAAGAAGATTGGGGAATAGCAGAAACAAGGCTGGCCCTGAGTGGTTAGAATTGAGTTGTGAGCCCAGAGGGGTTCATAATACTGCCCTATTTTTGTATATGTTACAATTTTTCCAGAATAAAGTTAAAAAATAGTTTTCATTGTGTTTCTCTGTTTAAGTTAAAATGATCTTTAGGAGTTTTATCCAATCCCAAGACAATTGACCTGTTCCTCCCAAACTGCTGTGGGTTATGAGGCTTTCGGGCCCAATTTCCCAAGGCCCTCTTCGTGCACGGGCGTGTGGCAGTTCCCGGGACACCTGCTTTGGCTCTTCCCGATGGAAGCCGGAGAACACTGTGCAGTCCCCACTAAAAGTGAGCTTTCCGCAGGCCTTTGCTGGGGACTCTCTCACCCTCCTGTGCCTTTCTCCACACTCACCAGGAGGGCCTTGGCCCCCAGGCAGGCCAGGAGGTCCTGGAAGGTAGGCGTTTGAGGCCAGCACCTTGTCACCAGTGATGTACTTGCCCAGGTCAGCGGCATTGTTGGGGAGCAAGGCAATCTGCAAAGAGAAGGAAAAACCTTGGTCAGGAAGCAACAGCTCCACCCCAAGGACAGTCTCTGCATTTGTGTTGTTTGCAGAAGCTGCAAAGTTTTTTTGTGATATATACACACATACACACACACACACACACATACATATATATATATATATATATATATTTATTTATTTTTTACTAGAGCTACTTAGAACCTAAAGGGACTGTGAAGAGCCTCTTTCTAAACTTGGAGGCTTCCTAGCGAAAATAGCTGGCAGGAGATCACTCAGCTAGTTAGTGGGGGAACCTAGGTAACTTCAGCCAATTAGTGGAGGAACCTACTAATGGGGGGCTCCAGATTACCTAGACATCATTAGAACTAATATTGCCATAATTAATAGGATCTGTTTCATACTCTCAATTTCTTAACTACTTTATGTCTCAAATATTTATCGGATAGTTACAATGTGGCAGGCCCTGTGCTTGGTTCTATGGATACAATGTGACCGAAACATGGTCTTAAAGAACTCTCAGCCTTGGGAGCCAGACATGGTTGACAATTCCCCACACTCAGGGTTGACCTCCAGTACATCTGGGCAATAGTGACTGTGGTGGTTTTAAAACCTGTCCACAAATTCTTGCACATCGCTAGCCTTGCTTCTCATGAATAAAATAGGACAGAAGTGACAGTGGGTAGTTTCTGAGACTAGGACTAAAAGGCACCGAGGCCCTGTCTTGGATCACGCATTCTAGGGGAAGCCAGAGGACTGCATGAATGAATGACCTTTGCATTCCTTGACGTCAGGTAAACTTTGTAAATCTACGAAAAAATCTCCATTTCCTCACTGGCAAAAGGGAACAATTTGTCTGTTGAAGAACCCTGGGCATTTGACATGTAGCATTTTCTACAGTTGCAATTTTGCTGATTATATATCCTTTGGGCAGTTTAACATGCTGTACACATTTTATAATGTGGGGTTGGCCACAGTTCGGGACACCTAGTATCTACTTGTTGGGTAATGTTTATTTGGACATAAGCTCAAAATTGCCACAATGCATTTCTAGAAAGAATTTGGTATAAGGTAGACCAATTCTAGTCCAACCCAACTCCATGAGAGTTACTGGAGTACTAAGATGACCTCATGGATTTTTATGTGGCTCTACAGCAGGGTCTCTGAGGGTGACAAGTACTTTGACACAAGATTTTCAACTTTTGAGTATTTCTTTTTTCATGCATCATAAAAAATATTTGGGTAGGCTAAGGGAAAGCCACACATGGACTGAGCAGCTGAATTCCTGAACAACTTGTGATATTTAGCTCTACTTTTCCTAAAGATTTCCCTGGCTAGAAAGAACTTCTCTACAGCTTGTAATTATTTCCAGGGAAGAAAAGTGAAGGTAGCTTTGTGTCTCAAGACACTAATCAACTGCCTGCTCCAATCCTCTAGTCTGTGAAAGGCAAACTTACTTTGTCCATGAATCTTTCTCTGGGTTTGCTCGATAAATATTAATATTAACATCAATCTAAGTTCATCCTGGGGCTATCTGTGTGGGATGTGTTTTATTTTTATCTCTGTGTTTATACTGATACACATGCAAGGTTTTCTGCCTGGTTTCCCTGCTAGAGCAAAGGTACGTAAGGTTAAATCTATGTTTTAACTCATGATTACATGCCAAGTAAATACACATCTCTGCTAAAGTTGATCCCATCTTCAATGCACAAAAGGTCTACAAAATCATTTCTCTTCTCAGCCTGTTGATACGCTTGTTTAACTAGTAGCTATGGTTTTCATTAGGGGCTGGCTGCATGTTTGTTGAATGTGGAAAGGAGACACGGTCTCATGCTTACCCTTTTGCCCTTCAGAATAGATGGATGCCAAAGTTAAACAGATTAGATACACCTCTTTGATGTACTAAGAGCCTTGCGTGGAAGCAAATAAACAAACCAGTAAGTTTATGTTTTATCAGTATAGGAGCAATTTCTGAGTCACTGACAAACTAGCAAATTGACTGGCCTTAGGTATATAATACATACTGAGTCCAGGACAATTGTTCGAGAAGTCAGGTCACCAGATCCACCCTGGGAGCATTACTCACAGCATAACAAGAGTACTGGAGATTCTATGTTCCACCAGGCACTCAGGGGGCACTTTATAAAGTGCATCAGTCCTCACTTTGGGTGGCACAAGGTACTCAAAAAGCTGCCCTTCCTAGGTGCCAGGAAGCTCAGACAGGCACGGGCTATGATTTTTAAATGTGAAAAATAAAGCTTCTGCAGAAACTCATCACCAGTTTATGGACATTTATAGACAAGATGTTCTCTATAAATAACACACACATGAAATATCAGATAAGATAGGACCACATAGGACCATGTGTCTGCACATTCATTTTCTAAGTAGTTGTAATAGTTGCAGCCGACTCTCCCTATAGCTTCACCACGGGTCCTTTACCCAGTACCTATTTTAACCACCACCACCTCAATCCTTGCTGTCATCATATTTAGTTGCCCTTTAGATGGTCAGCTTTCAGGATGGTTAGGCAAAGCATCCTGAGTCCAAACCTCATTGACATCAGCTGCATGAACGCCCAATGTGGATGATAATTTCCTTATTTGTTCCTAAACATTCTTCCACTTTATCTCAGCCAAGCCCTCCTTTTGCCACGTGTCATTGTGTCCCCCACCCCAACACATACCTTTTGCTTCAGCTGCAGCACCGTCTGCTTCATCTGGTGGAATTCCTTGCACGTGGCGCAGCAAGTTCCGGCTTTCACGGCGCTCTCAGACTTCTCCTCGTGCCCTGAGAAAGGAGACGGGCTCAGTTCCATCTGGGAGGCTGGTGAAGGCCAGGCCCAGAGAGACGGCGTCAGGAAGGGGCAGTGGAGCCGACAGCAGGACGTGCGCGGGCTAGCTGCTGGCGATTTCACAGTTCTCAGGGCCCGGACAGCACATCCCGGTGTCGGGGAAGAGAGGACAGAGGGAGGAGGGCCCCGCCACACTTTGGGCTCAGCTGTTCTGATTTAGACATCCCAGGAAGACTCTGGTCTTCCTCTTTCATGTGTGAAAACATGCACCACCACTCTTTCATCAGTGCCATTCCAGGAGACAGGCTCTATAAATCCAACATGACTTAAACTCCCCTCAAAGGGCCAATGTTCACACATCATAAATATCCCCCAAGCTCAAGCAGTCGGCCTCCCAAAGCTGGTCTTGATCACCTGCTGATCCGGGTCTTCAGAGGGGCCACAGCTGGGCCGGGTGGGGCCGTGTGGTCATGGGCTGGGAGCTGATCTCACTTGAGGCCAGGATGGGAAATGTGCCTGGCACTCTGGACACCCCTACCCGGGGCCAGCCAGGACAGCAATGGGGAGGCATCTGGTTCCAAAGCCCTCTGGTCGGGCGCTCCACGGGCTTTATGTGAAATTGCTTTTAGCTAAAGGAAAAATGGGTGAAGTAAATGATGCAGCCAAGAATCCAGCCAGTTGTTATCTTTCCAGCACTGGAAGAGGCTACACAAGCCTGTGTGCCAGGGAGACCCGACACCGAGGTGGTCTTGCTACCGAGGACCAGGCACAGACTGCCAAGGTCTGAGCCAAAGGTGGCAGCAGCGTGGACCAGAAGTTGTAAGGGGTGTGCATTCTCTTGTGGGGGGGAGGGCAGGGGACAGTTTGACACCCAGGGAAGGAGTAAACTCCCCTTGCTTAGAAGCTTTTTGGTGTTGGGGCCTGGCATGCTGTTTGTGTGACATAACCACTACCACCTAGACTGTGGACCAGGGACAGCAGGGACAGTCAGGTAGTGTGTGTCACCGTCTCCTATGCTTCCTGCCCCACATACCTTTCTTCTCACTATTCTTCTCTTCTGCAAGGCCCTGTCTTCTATTTTCACTTGTTGAATCCCACCGAGATCCAGATCAAATGCTCCATGAGGCCCACTCTATCCACACACACACACTGCAGTCCTCTGAAATCAGGTAGCATTTACCATGGGCCCCCACTCACAGGTTGGGTCTTCCAGGCTTCCCTGGAGGGGCTCTTGGTGCACATGCCAGACCATTAGGCACCGAAGAACTAGACCCTCTTTCTTGGTATCTCACAGACAGATGCTCAAGTGGCCATCTGGCCACTCTGGAGGGGTGAGGGCATGCAGTGAACCTGCTATTGGAAACTCTGGTGAGAACACCTGAGAGTTATCTCCCAACCAGGCTCCAGGGAAGCAGCTATGCCTAGTGACTGCTGCCATGAAGATGCCTGGGCTGTTTTCTGTTGCCTTGTGGAATTAGCAGAACACAGAGAATCAAAAGTGATGTTATCCAAAAGACTTGAGGCTCCACTGGTATAGGAGCATGCAGCAGGTGGCAGAAGTCTGGTGGAGTCAGATGATCAGAATTAGAATCCTGATGCTGCCACCAAATCCCTTATAGGTTGGATGAGTCAGCCTCTGTGACTATCTGTTCCTTAAACGGTGGAAACACCTATCACCTGGCATTGCTGAGTGAAGCCCGTGAGACACGTAGGTTCCCAGAACGGTGCCTCGTCGACCGCAAGCGAGCCATATGTGGCACTGTTATCGGCATCATTGTTTATGATCAAGCTCCCTACAAAATTAGAGATGTGGGGTAGGGACCTTTGAATAGAGCTCTTTGAAGATAATGAAAGACTCAAGCCTTTTTTGTATGTTGTAGACCTGGAACACACAATCTACTCTGAATTGGGGATAATCTACCTTGCAATTTGCCTACAGTAATGTCAAGGTGTGGCCACAATATTCTCACGTGTGCTACATTACCGGTTTATTAAAAAACCCAGCTAGATATCAGACTGCATATTTCAGCCCTCTCGATTAATGCTGTGGTCACATCTCTATGAGAAACATCTGGAGAGGTTAACACTCAACATTTTTGCTTCAACTTGTCCAGATTTTAAAGGCGCAATATTACTGATTAGCCACACGGGGGCATGGAGCTCTAATTGTTCCTGAAGTTAAGCAAGAAGCATTAGAAATTACAATGCCTTTTAGATATATTAGTAACATCTAATAAACTTAACAAAAACCAAAGAATGTTCACAACATATTTCCTATGGGTAGTGTCCCAAATGAACAAAGTATGTTTGTTTTAAAAAGTTGATCGTGCAGTGTTGTGCTCTGGCTGTAACGCTCAACCCTGGTGGCACATTACAATCGCCTGGGGGGGGGGCTTTAAAAATCTTACGGATTCTGTTGGACCCCACTCATCTGGGGAGATCAAGGCAATAGTATATCAGCATTTTTAAAAGCTCCCCAGGTGATTCCAAGGTTGAGAAGCACTGATCTACGGATTAGTGGAGCTTGAAAGTTATATGAAACACCTGGCCATTTCTGACACTTTGAACCATAAGAAGTGACACCGGGGTCATGGTCACTTTATCAGAAAATAAACAGAAGTTGAGAAATAAAGACCAGCAAGCTAATTACTACGGAGCCAACATTTCCTTAATTTGTCTCCCCATCGGTGCTACGCAGACTCCCTGGGGTGACTAAACTGGCTCCAGCTACATATTTTCAAAGAGAAACCCCAAGTGGCTGCATGCCTGTTAGCCACAGGGCCGCTCCGCCAGCCTGGGGGCTGCAATCTTTCCATCCTCAGAGGCCGCGGCCCTCCTCTCCCCCTGGATTCCTAATACCCAGCGGAGGCTGTGTTTGACTTTCAATGGACAGACATTGGACAATGAAAAGCTAAAAAAATTAAATAAAACCGAGGAGGGGGGAGAGATAATCATAGATCACATGCGGTTATGCTCAATAATTGTTATCTCATCAAAAAAAAATGACCATGATGATCTATCAGGCTTATTCATGAGTCCCAACTGCTTAGCTGCCTCTGATGTTCCAGAATGCAGGGCTCTTTTGGCCCCTGACATTTCTTGCTGCTGAGTCAAATTTTAGATGTCGTAAGGGAAGTTCTCTGCTCCGACGCTGCTGGGGCTGGGCATGTTTTCAAGTCTCGTTACTCACTTAGATGGAGGACAAAAAAGTGAGGCCTGCACAGGAGTCCAGCACTGGGGGGGGGGGTGTTACTTACACTAAATCCCATCAAATTTTGAAAAAGATTTGAGAGCCCTCAAAGTTCATATAGTTCAACCTTCTTGTCTACAGTTGGGGAAACTGAGGCCCAAAGATTTGCCCAAAATCACTCAGTTAGTTAATGCTAAACAGCTCTGGTTACCACCTCTCCTACCTGCCTAGTCAAGGAACTTGTCCCGGCATCACAGCTGATAAAGAAATGACTCCCTCCAGGCCCCCAGACGCGGCTGGGCCACACTGGCCACCATGCTGAAGGGTGGAGGTATTGACTTTTTTTTTTTTTTTTGAGACAGAGTCTCGCTTTGTTGCCCAGGCTAGAGTGAGTGCCATGGCGTCCTAGCTCACAGCAACCTCAAACTCCTGGGCTCGAGTGATCCTTCTGCCTCAGCCTCCCGGGTAGCTGGGACTACAGGCATGCGCCACCATGCCCGGCTAATTTTTTATATATATATCAGTTGGCCAATTAATTTCTTTCTATTTATAGTAGAGACGGGGTCTCGCTCTTGCTCAGGCTGGTTTTGAACTCCTGACCTTGAGCAATCCGCCCGCCTCGGCCTCCCAAGAGCTAGGATTACAGGCGTGAGCCACAGCGCCCGGCCTGGTATTGACTTTTGTGTGTGTGTGTGTGTGTGTGCCAGACCATCAAATCCAGCCCCTACCTTCTCAGTGGTCCAATCACTTGAGTTATGACTTTAACATTCAGGGCATACAATGTACCTGCCCTTTCTCACTCATAATTTTAATTATATGTATGAATTACTTCTTCCCAATCTCTACCCTCAAATTTCTGTAGTTACTGGTGTTGTGCTTTTCATAATAAAATACAAAACCATCCTTTGTGCATATGTGGCGAGTTCAGTAGAGACTAATTACTAACAAATACTGAGAAATTCTTTCAGAAGGCGGCTGCCGGGAGAGAGTGATGTAGCAGACAGTGGTGTCAGCAGGTTTTCTTTCTTTCTGTTTTCTTTTTTAACTATTTGTTATTGGTATATTTAGAGGAGGAGGAAGAGGGATGAGAAAGAAGAGAGGACCCCCAGCCTAGTCTATTCTCTGTGATGAGTTTTGTATTACAACAAAGCTCAGTGGTATAACCACCAGATGGTTCTTTCTTGATGGAACAGAAGGACATCTCCCAGGAAAGCCAATGTAGGCAGGAATAGACTGTCTCTCAACACTGAAGAGGACAGTGGAGAACGTAGGGATTACTGCAGCAGATGGAGGCTGAGATCAAGGAGCAAGTGAACACGGCATATGAAATCCTACACTAGTTTCTGCAAAGCCCACCCAGCTTCCCTGCCTCCCGCAGACCACTGTACCCCACCAGGCAGGAGTCCCGTGTGGGTGGGGCCAGGTCCTGTCAAATTCTGTGTCCCTAACATTGCATCTCAACCTGATCCTCAGCAGTGTGTGTTGCTGCTGCTCCCAGTGGTTATGCTCCGGACCAGTTGCTCATAGCTGCCTTTAATGCCCACATAAATGGCTTTCACCTGTATATAAATGCGGGACAAGGAGGCAACGTACTTGCCAGGCTGGGCAGCCCACAGTGCATGGGCTACCTGGCTCAGAGCATAGCTGGAAATCCGATTCCCAAACAAAACATTAGAAAGCTGCTTTCTTGTGACTATTAATAATTCATTCTCAATATTAATAATTCTCAAGTAGGCCTAATAGATCAGCGGCTAAAAAGCTGTACCCTGTTTGTCAGTGAGATTCTTCCTTTTAATGAAGGACATGATCTAATACGTAATACACGTGCCTCCTGCCCTTACCCCCCACCACCACCACCTTCTCCACCATGGGACAAAAATGCAGTGATTTTAATTTTGAATTAAAAAAGTGGTCTGTAAACATTACTTGTCTCCAACCCTTATAATCAAAAAGAACACCCTTTGCTTTACGCACACCTCCGTGCAGGCAGACTCCACATATTTCGGGCTTTAAAAAGCATCACCAAGTCTTCTTATTCATTCAAATACTCCCAAACTGCCCAAGCCTCAGAGGCCTCTGGATAGGCATCTTGCATTTCCTTCCTCATGGCTCAGCCCGGCTGCTCCTGGGAGCTTTGCTTTGTAGTTTTCCCATCCGAGGCAGCTGGTCCCCAGCTGTGTGCTGTCAGCTGCTGGTGGCTGCCTTCCACCCCAGTTTTGAAGCTCAGGCTACACCCAAGAATCGCCACCAAGAATCCTGAGTGCCCAGACAGCTCTGGCTTTTTCGTTTCCCTGCATTTCTTGGTACATGTGATTTGCCCGGGAACCCCCTTTCCCTCCCGGGGATGGCCCAGGCCCAGCTAACCTCTCCCAACAGCGTTCCAGCCATTTTCCCTTCCCCAGGGAAGGACGGAGAGTGGAGCCAGGAAGATGACGCAGCTTCCTGCACTGCAAGTGGTGGTGCAGGAGCCCACGGTCAGGGGGGACCCAGCCTCAGGACTTTCTCCCCAGGGAACTGGTCCCGCCAACTATTTTTGGTGGAATCCACTTTGCTCTAAGGTCATGCTGGCTGGAAGGCTCTGACATTGGTGCATATAGGCTAAAATCCACAATTTTAATGACTAGGCTGGCACGTACAACTTGGCAGAGAGATCAGAGTTGCTTCACAAGTGCATGTGGTGATATGTTGCCCATCGAGGCATTCTCTGAAGTGTCGACATCAGTTTGGGGGCTCTCTTTCCCCTTCCCCTCTCCCTTTACCTCTCTCCCTCATTCTTTTATCTTCCAAACTCAAATAAGGAAGTAACTCAACATTGAGGCCAATCATCTGCCTGAGTGACCAGACATCTCAATTGAATCGAGTTGACATATGCAAACAATTTCTCAACTCTGTGCTGAAGGCCCAGTTTTTTAGAAATTTTCCAATTGATTGTGTACTGATACGCAAAATAAAAAATGAATCTCTAAAAAAATAAGATATCAAATACAAGCATACATTTTTGGATTTAAACAAAATTCCTCTGTCAAAGTGGTATAAAAAATTTCTAAACACTCTCAATTTCTGTTTGTATCCAATCATGAATCTTGCCTGTTCAGAGACCGTATTTTGAGTACCCCAGATGCAAATTTTTACCTTACATGGAAATGTTTCATATTTATATTTCAGCCTGTTTTGAGTGAACACAGCATTTCTGGCCTCTTCTCTGCTCCTACTTTGTCTAAACACATGACTAAGCTCTACTGATTTCTCCATGAGCTCAACTTGGTGGAGGCCTTCCCCTCAGTACACACCACTTCCAACCCTAATGCTAACGGGAGTCACTCTCCTCTCTCTCCTTAGAAGGAGTTTGAAATTATACTCCCTTACCCAGGTCTCATCCACCATATGTGCCCCTTCCTGCCCACTGTTCCCTGAGGAACCTAGCTGGGCTCTCAAGTGTCTATATATATATATATATATATATATATATGCGTTCTATAAGATACACATTATACATGTGTGTTACATATTTACATGGTTATACATTTTAGGCATGTGGGAACCCTATTAAAATATATAACATGCATTAAATTATTTACACTACATTATAAACTTGTATAACATCCTTATATAAATATATACTTACATAACATACTTATATATTTATATAACATACTTCTCTATCTACATAACATACTTATATATATAATTGTATCTATATTCATATAATACACAAGCCTCAAATTGCTTATATATATTATATAAATGTACATAGAACTAGGCAGACAATTACTCTTGCCCTACTTACTTACCAGTGTTGTTGGGGTATTTGTCTCCCCTGGTGCACGTCCTGCCATCGTCCTCCAGGACGTAGCCCTCCTGGCACTTGCAGCGGTAGCTGCCCAGGGTGTTGACACAGGCGTGGGCACACAGCGTCCCATTGCTGGTGGCACACTCGTTGATATCTGGTTTGAACAAAATGCAGAGGATATTTCAGTTTCAGAGAAGTCACTTTCAACACAACAGATGACACTGGGCTTGGCCCCTCTGTTAATGTCTACAAAGGACGCTTTGCAAGACCCGGAACACATTAGGAAGCTGGAAACATGGGCTGCCCATGAAAGCAGCACTTTGGGCCATGTGACCCTGGTTACAGACGGGCCCCGCCACTGCCACGGCACGTGGCTTGGTGCAGGCACTGCTTGGCTTCAGAGAACCCACTTAGAAAACGACGATGAAGCTGGGCCCAGATACTTCACAGGCTGCTCAGGACAGAAAATGAGACACCCAGTGGCAACTCACACTTGAAGAAGTAAACGTCATAGAAGTGATTTTTCACAAGGGCCCTAGTGTGCTGTGGGTTTTTAAGTTTCCCTTTATGGCTGTAAGTTCTAAACAGCATGATGGTGACCCGAGGGTCACTCAGGAATGGCTCCTTCCCAGTTAAGAGACACGATGGTACCTGGGAAAAGATACTTCTAATAAAAGAAAATAGTCATAATGGGTATAGCGGGAGTCTGCTCCAGGAAATTTCTGCCTCATCAATGACCCCATCAGACGCCCCAGGGGCTGTGGAAATGAGCCATGAGATCCTCAAGCTAGTCACCACTAGGAGCCTGTGTTAACTACACACATCACAGACTTGCTTCCCTGCTGTGTGGGCTGGAAACAAAAATATTTCCCACCCTGGCCAGGGAGGGAGGCCCAACTCCATTTCCTGTTTGCTGGCTGAAGACCCCGGGTGGCAGTGGAGGGGACCGTGGCATGCAGCCCCAGACTGTGTACACGTGCTGGGCAGACAGAGCCCAGCCACTTCCTACACAAGCTACCAAGGACCAGCTCTGGCTGGCCCTGAGTGGGCCGTGGGGAGGGTGGTCAATAGGACGTTCCCCTGGCAGTATGTACTACGTACTACGTTGTCTACAGAACAGCAGTCACAGCTGGGTCCCCCTCTGTACTTCAGGCTGCCTGCTTCCAGGTGTCCCTGCCCTGAACCTCAGTGCAAAGCTGCCTGTACTGCCCAGAGAGAGAGGACAAGGTTGAAGGAGAAAAAGAGATGGAACTCGTAGTAGAATGCAAGTTCGGCTGGTCTCCGAGTCCCCCAGATGAGGTGAACAGGGAACAGTAGCTACTACTAACTGAAACAAGAGCCCCGTGCCTGGGACCTGGGCCATAGGGAATAGTCCATGCCCTCTGCAGAGGCGGCCACGGATCCCAGCTACATTCACTTGGTGTTGCAATCCCATTCCTTGTCAGTGTGGGTCACCATTCCCAGATGCTTGTGGGGAGAAGCCAGGAGACCTTAATTGGTGACCCTAGAGCCCCTGCTGGCTAGACAAAGAGGGGCTGCTCATCACAGCTACCGTATCTTCCACGAGGGTCTACTTGCCACTCTCCCCAGTGCACCTTCCAGCTGATTCTTCAACCTCGCCGTGCACAGCAATCCAATGAGGCATTCAAGAAAACACACATTTCTGGACCCACCCTCAGAGCTGTGATTCACTAGGTCTGGAGGGGAGGCCAGATTTTTTTTTTGTATTTTTTAAAGCAAAGATCCCCGATATTTCTCAGACAGGTTAGCCACAAGCAGACCACACTTTGAAACACACAGTTCCAGGTTTAGCCATGAACCTGCCTCAGAACCTCAGGGAGTCCAGGGCTGGAAAGCCAGGTCCATGAGGAGGAAGGAGCAGGCTGGTGGCCACTGAGGGGGCCACCTCTGCTCAGCTGCAGCTCCCGGACTCCCTGCCAGCCTGTCTGCCATGTGGACATGTCCTTTCTTCCCCAGTCGTCCTCATTCTTGTTTCATGCTTCCTGCGTGCCCATGCTTTGGACCACTTACATCCTGTTGTCCACTGTTCTTGTTCACACTTGGTGAAGTTATTACCCTTCTCTTGCCCTTTATCCCACTGCCACTTAGGATCTGACTGCCACCAACTCCCTGGAGAATTCCTTGGGCATAGTTAGTTTTATTAATCATAACAAAAGGCAGTGAGCGATCCCTGGGACAACACAAGCACAACTCTGACAACCATGAGAATGTAAGGGAGGGAAATCACAGTCGAGCAGCGCCTGTGATCGTCCTGCCGATGAAGAAGGTGCGACAGAGCAGACCCTTCTGGACAAGGCACAACCTCAGGAGCCGGAGGACACGCGTATCCCCCACGCACCCAGGCAGTACGGCTTCTCCTGCTTCCGGTGTCTCTCGCGGTCGTAGCGGTAGCCCGGGTAGCAGGTGCACAGCACTCGGCCGAAGTTGTCCGTGCACTGCTGTTCACAGGGAGCCTCGGCGCACACGTCATAATCTGCAAAAGAAAAGCGTGAGCTCATCATATCAACCACTGCAGGTGGCAGGGTAACCGGGCTCTGGCCAGCAACAGACTCTCTGGGCTACGCTCTTGCTCAAGGTCAAGTGTGAAGTATGGACGGCTACGTTCAGACAGGCACTATCGCTTTCAGCCTGTGGGGCTCCATCTAAGAGTACTGCAATGGGTCAATGAACGTGCAGCATCGCAGTGGTTAAAAGCAAACATCATTTGTGAGTTTTTCCCCCCCAGGTCACCTCATTGTCCTTTGGTCTTTGTCGCTACCCAGAGAGCAAAGATGCTCTAGCTGGCCAAGCTCTGCAGCATTCCCCGGGGGGCCGGTTTTGTCTTTTTCGGCAACTGCCGTAGTGACAGCAAATTCCTGCCAGTGGCATGTTAAAGAAAGGCCAACCCTGGTATTGGGTATTGGTGTCATCGTGTAGGAGGAAGGGCTAGAAGTCAGGCAGGCTAAGAGAATATGAGGGAGGATTTGTAACAGAAATGTGTGCGTTATTAGAGAGCTAGTGTTTGTGTGATATTGGAAGTGTGCAAACTGGGGCTTGATTCTGTATGCCAGGAAGGGTATGCCTTTGGGTATGTTCAAAGGCTAGAGAGCTCTTTCCAGCACTCAGCCTGTGCAGACTGGGGTGGACACTCTACTACTCAAAGAATTAGGGCATCTGCTTCTCTCAGTTCTTACGAACTGGTATTTAATGAACCTGTGAAGGGACTTTGGCTCTAAGTCACTAGCTCAGGCTCAACACTGACTCCCAGACCAGACCCGGCATCTCATTAATCACTGCATTATCTTCCCCAGGTGCTGACAGCCAAGCTGTCCTTGGACAGAGGGAGTCTGGGTCTGCTCCGCCACCTAGCAAGGTGAACGGGTGGGCTGTCAGCCCCTGATGCAGGCTGGGCTGGTGCGACGAGCATCATGTCATTCTCACGATGACCTGGGAAGCTGCCCTTGCTAGATGCTCTTTCCCACAACTGTGATTCCACGTTGCTTTGCCTGTCTGGTGTTCTGACCAACCCTACAAACTGTTTCTCACTTGATAGGTTTTTTTCTCAACTAAGCATCACCTATAGGCAACTAATGTTCTGCGCTCCTTTTTGCTCAAGAACACGATCTCTGAGTGACTGGCTATGAGCTTCCCCGCCAGCAGTCGCCACCATTCAGCACAGCTGAGTAGAGGAAGAAACAGGCAGAGAGGCTGTCAAAGGTACTAGCTGATGGTGCTCAACAGGGCTTGTTCCAAAACACAGCTGTTCCCTGTCCCCTCTACCAGCCCTGCTTCCCCAAGGTACCACTTCCAGATCTTCTAGCTGAGTCTTTATATTTACCTCCTCATCTCTAGCCAACTTGTGTTGATTCTTCCTTTTATTTTTAAGTACTCTCTGCTGACTTCAAGCATCAGAAGAGATGCATTTAACTTCCTCACTGCCCCTCCACCACCAACCACACCCACACATCCTATTCCCTCCACCTGGCTCACATAGTTATGTTGAAATTTTGGTTCGATGATCTTTAGTATTGGCACTATAATGACAATATAAAAGCTATTCTTTGCAGAACCTGAAAGTGTGCTCAAATCACTTACCCTTTCTTGAAAATCTTTTGTCTTTGTTGGCATTAAAAGAAGTTATCTTCTATATTTTGGGGGTACCAGTTATTAAGCTTTGTCTCTTAGCTTCAAACCACCACCCCCCTTTCTTCCATGAGCTCCTTTGTGATTTGGACTCTGGAAACCCTATTTCTCCTTTGCCAGCTGCTAGCCTATTAGGTACTGCTAACGACAGGTCGGGGGGGGGCGGGAAGGGGGAGACAGAGACAGACAATGGAAGAATAAAAAGAGACGTGCCCTTTTCTATTTTGCTCCCTGTGCATGATGGACTTATCTCAGCCTCCCTCTTCCATTTCAGTAGCGGTAAATTGTTTCAATAATAGCAGCAAAATCCAGCTTCCCAACACTTGCAGAATCAGCCTCATTATACCCTATTTCAGAGACACCAGCAGTCTGGTGAAACTGATCATTCATCAGCAGAAACTCCCCCAGTTTTGCAAATCTCTTCTTAAAATGCCCAAACATATTAGATATGTTATTGACTTAATCTCGACGAAGTGGGAGAAACTTCCGATTCGCTCTAATCAGGACTCCGTACGTCTGCTGTATGGCCGCCTCTTGGAATGCCCCTTCACCACCATCCCGGGATTCCCACCAACTTCCTCTCCTGTGTCGGATCCCTGTTTCCTGGATCCCATGCCTCCCCTCCCTCTCCTCTGGTTTACTCCCTCATGTTAGTGTAGCGTGTCCTCCAGTGGCTTTCTGAGAAGAGCCACAGAAGAGGTGAAAGGGTTAAGATCATGCATGTCTGAAAATGTCTTTTGTCGACCCTTATGATTACTGATAGTTTGCATATATGATTCCAGATTGGAAAACTTTACCTCCGATTTCTGAAGGCCTGTTCCATTGTCTTCTAGCTTTCAATGTTGCTATGGATAAATCTTATGAGATTCTAATTCTTGATCTTTTGTATGACTCATTTTTCCTCTCTGAAAATTTTTGGGACTTTTTGTCCCTAGTGTACTAAAATTTCACAATGATGTTTTTATGTGGGACTACTTCAATCTTTGGTGAATCATTTTTATCTAGGATTCATACTCTTCAATTCTGGAGAATTTTGTTGGATTTTTATCTTTAACAACTTCCTCTTCATTTCCTCTGTGTGGAACCCTTAATTATTTAGATGCTATTAATATAGCCCCTGGACTGTTCCTCTAATAGTCTCATTTTTCATTTTTTGATCTTTTGTACTAGTTCTTGGGCAATTTATTCAATCTCCTCTTCCCACCCTTTTACTATCTTCATTTTGTTGTCATGTTTTTAATTTCCAATAATTCTTTATTTCTTCTTCTAATGTTCCATTTTATTAACACCATGTTTTTTGTTCCATAGATACGGTATCATCATTATAATCTGAGGTATAAATGGTAATTATTTTTAAGTTTTCTTCTGTGTAGTTTGTATTTTTGCTAGGGTTCCTTTTTCTTGTATGTTCCCTCTAATGCTCAGTGATCCTTGGATATCTGCTCTAGTTTATTTGTGGAGTATTAAAAATAGCTGCATAGAGCTCTTTGCATATGGTAGATTTTACAAACTCTGGCTTCACCGGAAGTGATTTGGCTGGTGCATTCCAATGTCATCTTCTTTAAGATTTTTTGCATGGGTTGGTGAGAGCACATCCAGGGTAGACATTTCAAAATCCTTGCCTGAGAGTAAAGTCATCCTGGAACCTAAGTGAAGGCAGAAGTCTACACATTTCAATATTCAACATGTAAGCATTTACAGAATCCCTCCGTTTTCAGTATTGGGATCTTACTTTCTTCTCTGACTGGTCTCCTCCAGTCTCAAAAGCCTCTGATATCCCCTCTCAGAAAATATATCTTTGGTGTCTTCTGCCTGGAGGTGGAAGAGGCAATATTCTGTCTGTGTGGAGTAGAGGATATGATCTGGGAACCTGACATCTTCTCAAACAGACTTTTGGTCAATCCTTTTGTTTTTGACATCACTTTCACCTCGGTTTCTAGTTTATTTTTAGTTTCATTGATTGTTATTTGCTTTGGCAGAAACTGGGTTGCTCGCTAGTTTTCCCTGACGCTAAGGGTTCACCTTTCCTACTTCGCTAAGCTATTTACTACCTCCCCTGTCTGTCCTCCAGCTTCCCAGATTTTGCTGCTATTTTCATCTCGTCCTTGTTCTTTGTCCTTGTGGGTTTTATGTCTTTTGTGAATCTCTTTTTCCCCCTATTCTGTATGGTTTCTGGAGGAGGCAAGGTTAATAAATTTATTGAATAGTCCATTTTTGATGCTTGTTTCCAAGAGCCTATCAGCTTTCAGTTCCACAGCTTTTATCTTCACAATTTATTTTCTAGCTTCTCTGTCCTATTTTTCTTGGCACTGTTCTAACTCAGATCTTTAGAACCTCCCTTATAAACAGGATCCTCATCCCAAGATTCTTACTCCTTGATCCACTCTTCCCAAATCAGAGTTCTGTATGTCACCTTTAAACTGTACTCTAATCAACATTAAATATAAATAATTCACTCTTGCATTTTGAGGTCGGCATTATGTTCCTTGAGACTTTTCCAAACTTAAGACTCATCTATGAGTTCTTTACACTGCAGCAAAAGTAAACTGTCTTTTCCTTCATCCTTTATCGTATCTGTGCCTTCTTACCTCTGTTTTTGTTCAGTTTTCATCTTTTCTAATGTGCAAACAACTCCTCCACCCTTACTCTCAGGACTTTATAAATGTTGGTATCCTTTGCAGCGTTTTTAAGTGCCAATGCAAATGCCATTCATGATCTGCCATTCAGAAGCCTTTCATGATCTCAACAGAGTTAGTCTATCTTATCGACACTCACAGGATGCTATACCTCTTTTACTCACATGCTCTGCCATATTTATCAAATGCCTGCTCTGTGCCAGGCCCTATTCTACGAGGCACATAGCTTGCTTTACAGTGCATAGTGCAGGTTCTGGACCCAACTCTCCCCACCATCTGTGTTCTTGGGTTCCTTAAGCCCTAGTTTCCTCGCTGGTAATATAAGGGTAACAATAACACCCACTTCATGTTGCTTTTGTGAAGATTAGGCTGAATGATGCAGCAAGAGCAGTGCCCAATGCACAGTAAAAGCTTTCCCTGCTCTTTTGTTGCTAGTTCTTTCCTGGCAAGGACTATGTGTCCCCCGGAGTCACCAGCACTACTCCCTTCCCACAGTTTATGCTCAATAATGGCTGAACTAGAACAAGTCAGATCATCGTACAGTAGGGATGTAGGATGATCATTTACGGTAGGGATCAGCAAATTTTTTCTGTAAAGGGGCCAGATAACATTTTTGGCTTTGCAGATCTCTGTTTCAACTCTCCAACGCCACTGCTATAGCGCAAAAGAAACCATGGACAATACTTAAATGAATAGGTATGGCTGTGTTTCAACATAACTTCATTTATAGAACCAGGCGGTGGGGCAGATTCAGCCCACAGGCCACAGTTCACTGAGCCCTGACATAAAGCTGTGACTATGAGGCAGCAACATTAAAAAAACTGCTGATTCCATTCATCAGCTGACATATTTGTTTAGATGCTCTAGTCTCTTTTTGCCATCTGTGATGGTTAATATTATGTATCAATTTGGCTAGGCCATAGAACCCAGATATGTAACCTTGGGCAAGGTTCACCAGGTATATGCTCTGAATCAGTGTCCGATATATGGTATGATTTCTCCCATCACCAGGATTCACAGGTCCAGGATCAAGGGGTAGAAGTGGGAGGGGTACCACTCACTACTATCACCTCTAGTGATCCACTAGCAAGCTTTGTGCTTCCTGTTCCTGTGACTCTATGCTCTGGGGCCTAAAGGTCTTAGTTCCAAAGGGAAGACTGTTCCCAACAGGACAGACAACAGTGATCCCATTGAACTGAAAGTTAAAATGCCAGCTAGCCCCTCTGGGCTCCTCACATCTCTGTATCAACCAGCAAAAAAGGGAGTCACTGTTCTGGCTGGGAGGACTGACCCTTATTGCCAAGGGGAAATCGTATTGGGACTCTTTGAACAATAGAGGTAAGAAAGAATCTGTCGGGACTGCAAGAAATACTTAGCGTTGCCACGCCCTGTGATTAAAGCCAACAGAAAACAACCACCACCCTCAATTTCGGGCGGATTTGTTTTTTCTTTTCTTTCGGGAGGGAGGTTTTGGTTCCCTTTCCCGGTTAAGGACCCAACCCCACCCGGGGGGGTTGTTTGCCAAGGGCAAAAGGAATGCATCAGGTTAGTGGAAGGTGGTAGTTACAAATACACGCTGTGACTATGTGACCAGCTACAAAAAAAAAGCACTGTAATTATCATGAGTATTTCTTCTTTATTTTTTACTGAATACATTATTCATAATTGTATGTGTGTGCAAATCTTGGTTTTCTTCCCTCTTTTATCCCATTATGTGTCATAAGATGTACTGACTTTATATCATAGTATTTAAACACTGTTAACTTGATACCGCAGTACTTAAATTACAGCATATCAAAGACTTTGTGTATCCTCTTTTGGGGAAGAGGTTAGTACATTTTTACCCAGGATAGCTGTCACCTCATGTCAGGTGGACGTATGACCTGGTTATTGTCTTTATTTGGACACTAAGTATAATTTAAGGAGACGTATATGGATGCCAAAATAACAAGGTACAGATTTGTGATGGTTAATTTTATGTGACAACTTGACTAGGCCAAATTACCCAGACATTTGGTTAAATATTCTAGATGTTTCTACAAAGATATGTTTAAGATGAGATCAATATTTAAATCAGTAGACTTTGAGTAAAGCCGATGAGCCCCCATAATGTGGGTGGGCCTCATCTAATCAGGTGAAGGTCTTAATTTAAAAAAAGACCTGTCTCCCCCTAAGGCTTGCAGACTGCCTGCAGACTTGAATTGCAACTCTTCCTTGGGTCTCTAGCCTGTGGCCCCATGAAGATTTTGGCCTTGTACCTCCATAATCTCATGAGTCAATACCTTAAAAAAAATCTCAATCTCTCACTCAGTCCCACTCAATCTCTCCCTCCCTCTACCCTCCCTATTGGTTCTATTTCTCTGGATAACCCTAATATGAATTCTTTTCTAAAATCCTGCATTTGTACTCTGTATTCTTGGGTGATAGAAACCTTTTAAAACTAAAGATAGCTTTAGTAAAAGAATCAATCACTGACTCCCTACCACAGATTGAAACAAATCAACTTTAAAAAGTGCTCTAGTGAAAAGCAATTGAGCAGAGAGTTAGTTATGGCAAAGCAATGCCCAGCACTTGTGATCACATTTGCTGAAAATACTCAGTTCTGGGTTATGTTAATTACAGGTGCTGTAGTCTCACCTTAGGGTGAGGAAGACTAGTTTTGGGCCTAGACATGTGAAACACAATACCTAACATTTAAAGAAATTCTAAGTATGTGGTATCCATGTCATGTGCTTTTAATTAGGTCAGGGAAGGTGTTTAGTTAGGATCTTACATTGATTGACCTAAACCTGATTTTCTTTGCTATTTGCCAAACTGCAATAAAAAGGACACAGCTGGTGACTGAGAAAAGCTGCCTATAAAAGAACGCAATTATTTTGACTTTTGTGGTTATTTCTACCATGCACTAACCAATGGAACAGGCTAGCAGAGAGAAATTGGGCTTTGAGAAACCCAACACATCAACCATCACATGTGGAGTGATTTTTCTAACCTGCCATCCTATGGCAGCTTTCTCAATGGTCACAGCTATGCTTTAATGAACTCTCCCATCCTTTCACCAAACACAACAATAAGAGGGAAGGCTCATCTATTCTTTTTTGTTGTTGTTGAGACACAGTCTAGCTCTGTTGCCTGGGATAGAGCGCCGTGGCATCAGTCTAGCTCATAGCAACCTCAAACTCCTGGGCTCAAGCAATCCTCCTACCTCAGCCTCCCAAGTAGCTGGGACTATAGGCAAGTGCCATCATGCCTGGCTAATTTTTTCTATATTTTTAGTTGGCCAATTAATTTTTTCCCATTTTTAGTAGAGACGGGGGTCTTGCTCTTGCTCAGGGTAGTTTTGAACTCCTGACCTTGAGCGATCCTCCTGCCTCGTCCTCACAGAGTGCTAGGATTACAGGCGTGAGCCACCGCGCCTAGCCTATTTCTAACCAATAAAAAAAAATTGTGCTCTATGAGATAATGCAATAGAATTAGCTTGTCTGGGCTCCAGATCCTCTGCAGAGACTTGGCTTCTTGGACAGAAGTGACGAAAACTATTTCACATTTCCCACCCGTCTCCCCCCACCCCACCGTGTCCCTGAGCACACCAATGTTAGGATCTTCAAACTGTCCTTAGTGCTCTCTGTCCAGAGCCCTCTGAGCATCCTGGGCAGCTTTTCTTGATAATCTGGACTCAAGTCTGCCTTCATGTCTGAGATCACCTCTGATCGCCCTGGTCCCTCTGTGCTGTGTGTCCCCTCTGAACACTTGCTTCACTGGATGTCTCCATTGCACATACTGCAGTTATTAATAACAGCAGCAGCAGTAACAACAGCCACCATTTATCAAGTGCTTAATAAGAACCAGCCTCTGTTCCAAGTACTTGACATGTGGCAAGATTCTTAGAGCAACCATATGCACTAACACTTGCCTGTAAGAACTAAGGTTTAGGAAGTAACTTTTCCCAAGGTCATAGCTAGTAGGATGTGGAAATAGGATTAAAATCCAGGTCTATTTGATTCCCTAGGATCCACATCCTGTCTCAATTCGAGTGTATGCACCTTGAGGGCTGGGTCCATGTCTCACATCGCTCTATACCTTCAGAGCTGGGCTGAGCATTCAGGTAGTGTTCGCTGATGGTTACATACAGAGGCTGAAAGTTTAGCATATGACGAAAGAGCAGGTGGAGAAAGCAGGTAGAGAGGTGAGGGAGGAGGGTTGCATTCTAAATTGTATATGAAATGCCACTTAGGGAGTTATAGCTTATTAATCATAAACATGAAATATTATATAATGACTCAGTGTGCATGCACACATCATGCAATGATTTAAACTGAGCATGCTACATTTAATCAAACTGGCATGAGAATTTAATGCCAAAAAATAGAATTCTGCACACAGATGACACATGTGCATTCCATGTACATCTAGATCTTATAGACTTCTAATGATTATTGGTGACTAAAGTGAGATATCATCTTTTATGTTACATACCTTCTGGGATACATTGTCCAAGAACAAATTTATACCCTTTGCAGCACTTTTTCCTAAGAGGCAAAAAAACAAAAAACATTTTAAATGTGGTGTTCAGTTAGAAATAAAATTCTTTTCAGTTATTATTTCTGAATGAAACAACTTGTGCCTAGGAAAAACTAAGGCATAAAGCAAAGTAGGGGTGGAGTATTTTTAAGGCAATCTGAGATTAAAAGGAAAAATATTATCAATAATACATGACTATATATCCTCAAACACCAAGTTATCCTTTCTGCCACATAATATAGGAAATCTCTTTGAATCCTATGAAACAAATTAACTAACTCAGAGGCTTCAAGATACTGATATTAAGTAATTAAAGGACTATAGAATGTAAATAGGATAAGGGCATTTAAGGCTGGCCAGACCCCTCAATCCATAGGCCAAGAAGTGACATGACTTATTAGTTATAACAACTGACTGTAAAAATGGGCTAATTATAATGTAATGATTGCTAATTATAATGATAATTAGGTAGCCAACTATTATCAAGTCTGGGACCCAAGCATTCTGATTCCCATTTGAGTGATTTTATTTTTTTTAATTTTTTTTTGAGTGATTTTATTTTAATACCTGCATCATATAAGGTACCTAAATGATCTGACTGAAAGGTACCTAAATGATCTGACTTTAAAAAACAGCAAACAGGCAATTTCTAACATAAATATTCAAGATTCCACCTGAGGTAGAGAAATGGTGCCATCAGTTCAAAATTCTAATCTCCACGGGAGGGATTACACCTGCGTCGGGGTCTCCACTCCTAACAGACTGAGCTGCCTGTGGACATCGACTATACCCTTGGGACAAAACAGAAGAAAAGAGCTGCTTGAAGCCTCCAGAGAGGGAATAAAAGCAGGCAGATCTGGGAGAAGAGCTGAAATTTTGAACAAGGGACTGATACAGGGTAAGTTTTCTGCTCTTAGGGCTTCAGCCGGAAAGCAGATCACAGCAGCCATGTGTTGTGGGGAAGCTAAAACTCTGATAGAAAATGAGCAGTATTTTCTTGGCCTGAGCAGAGGACAAAGCCTGGGCAAGCCTGGCCATGAGAAATTGAGGGGACAATGCTAGAGGAAAGACCCAAATTCTGTGTAAAGCTCTGCCTAAGTCTCTGGCTGATGTCTAAGCCATGTTGGAAGGAGCAGACCCAAAGCACCTAGCTAAGGACAAAAGGGGTTGTAGGGGGGCTTGAGCTGACCCTGTCACAGGCCGGAGTTTTCACATGTAGTCTAACCAAATTAATTGCCTGCTAGAAAGAAAACATCCCCACTCTGAATGAATACAGCAAGATGCAGGGTCTCCACGACATAGCACACACGAATGCAACCCGTTCTCAGGAAAGAGGAGAACCAATGGTCACACTCCAATATAACCCACATGTTGGAATTACCAGACTCTAAAGTAGCTACTTAACTATGTTCAATGACATAAAAGAAAATACACCTGTAATGAATTTACAAAACAGGAAATCTCAGTGGAGAAGCTATTAAAAGAACAAGATGGAAATTCTAGAACTGAAAGATGTATCTATAAAATTTTTAAAACCTGCTGGATGTGTTTAAGAGAAGAATGGAGAGAAGATGAGGAGAGTGAAGGAAAGAACTGGTGAATCTGAAAATACATCAATGGAGATTATCTAATCTGAAAAAGGGGAGGAAAAAGACAAAATGAACAAAGACTCAGGGACTGGTGGGCCAATAATGAAGGTCTAGGTACGGTACTGGGAGTGTCATAAGGAGAGGAGTGGATGGAGTAGAAAAATATATTTAAAGAAACAGTGTCTGAAAACTTCCTCTATTTAGTGAAAGATACAAATTTATTGATTAAAGAAGTGTAGAAACCCCAGACAGGTTAAATACCCACATAGACAAAATGCTTAGAGACATCATAGTCACACTGCTGAAAACTAAAGATAAAATCCTGTAAGCAGAGAAAAATTACACACTATATACGGGGAAAGGATGATTTTAGTGACCAGGAACTTCTCACTGAAAGGCCACAGTAACCAGAAGACAGTGGTATGACATCTTTTAAGTGCTGAGAAAGCAAACTTGTTCACCCCTGAAGCCCATATGCGGCAAAAACATCCTTCAAGAATGAAGGTGAAATAAAGACATTTGAGATAAAGGAAAGCTAAGAATTCACTGATGATAGACCTGTACTATACAAAACATGCTCAAGGGAATTCTTAGGGTCACAGAGAAATGACACCAGAGGGAAACATGAATCTTTAGGAAGGAATGAAGAGTGTCATAAATGATAAATATCTGGTCACATACAAAAGACTTTGTTTTGCTCTTAATTTTTTTTTTAAAGCAAACATGATAGCATTGTCTCACAAGGCTTATAATGCATGTAGATACAATAAATCTGACAACTGTAGGAAAAAATGGCAGAGAGCTAGATGGACTTACATGGTTACCAAGTTTCCACGTGTGATGTAAAACAGTACAATACTGACATTTCCACCGGAGATAACACTCCTGTCTCTCCATGTCTCTTGCTTCTGTTTATTACTACTCCCTTTTCTCCCAGCTGAATTCCCTATGAACTTCCCATCGCCACTTTCAAATCACACATGCAAGGCCTAGAATTAACTAGGGTGTAGTGAATCTGCAAATCTCAAGAATATATCCCAAAATATGTTGGGGGAAAAAATCAGATTCAAGGTTATTACTATTGAAACATCATTCTCTCTCTGCTGTGATTGGGCATGCTGTCTAGCAAGAAGAGAAATTCAGTTAAATACAGTCTACGAGCTGGAAACTGCATGCCCCCTGCAGCCTGTCACATCACCTGTGGGAACACACCATTTGTACCCTGGACCAGAGAAAGGCAGCCAAACCACTGATTTGGAAAACTGGGCATTATCTGTGACCATCAAATGGCAGAATGTTCAACCAGGTTAGATAAGGCCTTCTAAGCATTTTGATAACATTTAAATTTATATTTTCCACCACATTTTCATAAAATATAACTTACCATCCTCATTTTCTACCCTTTCAAATTAATATAATCTAAATAGATTACAGGTTGAGCATCCCTTACCCAAAATGCTTGGGACGAGAAGTGTTTCAGATTTCACTTTTTTTTTTTTATTTTGCAATATGTGAAGAATACTTACCAGTTGAGCACCCCTTAAATCCAAAAACCTAAAATCTGAAATATTCCAATGAGCATTCCCTTTGAAACTGCTTTGGATTTTTGGATTAGGATGTTCAATGTGTATTGGTCAAACCAATTTGTGTGCCTGGTCTGTTGGCGAATTACCATTCTTAGGAGAAATTTTAAGAAATCTCTTCCCAAAGCAAAATTTATAAAAACTTTATTAAATCCATCATTCATAAGTTTTATGTTAAATGTATTTAAAAATTCATAAAATTTATAAAAGTCAGATTTGGTAAGAGAACATTCTGGAGCCCAGTTGGGTACAGCAAAGCCACTTCATTCTTCTCGCTGTTCAGCTGTGGTAGCTATCTTACTCCAACAGCCAGGAAGTGGACTTTTGTTATAAACAAACAAACAAACAAACAAACAGTGGCATTTGGGATGCTCCTGAAACAGACTTGAGTTAAACAGCTACAGTTTCCCCTTCCCTCATTATTTTCTGCCTGCACTTGTCCTCCTAATATAGATTAATTTGACAGCACATTTTATGTTACTAGGAAATGATCTATCCATCCAATTTACTAAGCAGATGATGTGTGGCAATGCCCAGAGTTTTCTCATTAGACATAATTTCCCAACATCTCCAATTAAATTATAATCTGACGTGACAAGAAAAGCCCATGTGGACATAAACCGATGATGACGACTGTTTGTAAGAGAGGTACAGGATCTACCTTTACATTCCATGAAACTTAAACTCTGCCTAGTTTTCCAGGGTTCAAAAAAGTCCAAGCTCCTAACAACCAGAAAGAAAACTGGCTTAATAGAGTATTCATTAAAATGTTATGGTTATTACTTACTGTATTACTCAAGGCTGTCCTATGGAATGCTGTAAGAGGAAGAGAAGTGCACTAGATGATTTGAAACACAAGTGATTCATGAGAAAGTTGGATACAGGGGGGAAAAACATGTGTTTTTGATACTCAAGTCTAACACCACATTTAAACATATGGTTTTATTTGTTTCTATTTAAATGCTGCAGCTAAGGTATAACCCTCTGAGCTGTTTGATGGCATTTTAAAGTTCTCACAAAAGAATATGACATTTACAATCTCTCTTGCCACATCGAAGACATTAAACTTGGGCATTCTGACGTTTCAAGGGTTTAGGACTATCCACACGGTAGAGCCAGAAGCAACCTGTTATTTGCCTTTTTATGAAATTAAATGATAAGGAAGTGATTTGATATGCTTTTGAAAGGCTATGGAACTCTGTCAAGAGAAGATCTGAGTTTCAGGATGGGGATGCCTCATTTAAATACCTGCTTAGCTAGGAATTAATTTCCCCTTTGGGTTTTTTCTTAATTGCATAACTGACCCCAGCTTTCTGCTCAAGGGAAGGAGTTTGAGACTCTAAGTGCATTGTTCTGTCTTCCCCAGAGTCCCCAGGAATACATTACTTTGCATGTTAAACACCCATCAATCATAAATCACTATTTAAAATAAATAATGAAATACTCTAAAGTATAAAAAAACAAACACTGGCTGCACATGTTCTATCATTTCAAAGATTACTGACAACGTAATTTATGTACAATGAAGTTGAGGCAGCCAAAGCGAAATCTTGTCATGCAAGCGCGGGCACTTGTTAGACCTAACTACAAATACTGCTGTGTGGTTTTTATCTTCAAGAAAAACAAACTAAGATGAAAAAAGCCCATGTGGATTTTGGGGAGGCCAGAATCGTTTTTAATGTGCTTCACGTGTCATAGCTTGGTTTTTCCAGATACAAATACTTTTCTCGTTTCTTGGCAAAAGGAAGTGGTGATTAGATGGTTGTTACATAGAAACGGTGACATCTGGTAATCAAGAAAGCCTGTGGAGGTCTCCCTTGAGTGCCCTGGAGTATTAAAGCACATTTTAAAAGTCATAAATAAAAATGGGATGGTACAGCTAGAAACACATC